TAACGCTCGTACTCTTTCGCAAGCTGTCCCACCTCACCCCGAAGATAACTCAGGAATTCTGCTCCAAGTCGGAGCCTAGGTTTACACAACAGGACCTCATCGTAACAATATGAGAAGTGGGTTCCCGAAGTCTCAATGATTGCCCTACTTAAGAGTTATAGAAAATTGATACCATCTCCATAAAACGGCCAAGGGGAGATTTCGGGCCAATCGATAAGCGGAGTAACGCTAGCTTGGGGGATAGTTAACGGCACGAATTTAGACGGGACGAATATGTGTTCTTATGGTCTAATGCCAGTCTTGTGATATGAGAGCAATATGCGAGGCTAACTGATAACAAGTAAGAAACTTGGGATATACGATGGAAGGAGTCTAATTATCTAAAGCAATTCGAGCTAAGTTTGGAAAGCTCCCCATGTTCGTTTGAAAAGCCCTTCTCGCTCCACGGAAGGGACATTTACTGGGGCGGAAACCGCGCGAGTCCTAAGGAGGCTCATCCTGAGTAGTGGAAGTTCTACGAGATCCTCATTAAAATCGGGGGTATGAATCCACACTTATATTCACATTTGAGAGTCTGGACATGTATTTTGTTACAGGGTGGTGATTAAACTTTCGAAGTTTAACTAAACTTTCACTTATTAAATGTAAATTGATAGCGACCCTCCCATTGACATAGTTTGTACTTGCACGAAGGACATGGAGAAAGTTACAGACGGCAAGAAGTTGGTTTTAAGTGAAAAGTATTTTATCTGTGTGATTAGAGGAGAAAACAATACCGTCCCCTTCTGAGGATCTCAATCCCCTTTTCTCGAAAGTTTCCGATTTCTAGATGTCATCCTAACCGCGAAAGGTTGTATTCTGTGCATGATAACCCGTCCGGTTATAGGTGTTTTATTAAAAGACTACTATTACTTCGCTTGGTTGTAACTCAAAACCACACTCGAAACTCGGTTTAGGACAGAATTATGGAGTGAAAACCGAAACGATGTTGTAGATGTTAATGGGTCGGCAGGTTGAGTTATAAGCTTATTGGGCTAACAACAAAAGCGTGGGGATGTCTTATACCAGGGTTAAATCTTTCAGTACTGAAATACTAGGCGATAGTATCAGGGTAAACGTTGTTGCGTAGAGAAGAGGGGGGCAATGTGACTACCCCGGAAGAGATCACGTCTATAATACCCGAATAGTCTCCCTGGACAATGGTGAGTTGTTGCAAAAGGACCATCGAAATCGGTTGAGAGACTTTTACAACGAGGGTGCCATGAGTAACAATAAAAGCGAATGAGGTTGCCAGCGCATCGACCCAATTTGATTTAGTTGGGAAGGAAGGGTTATAGGGAGGCCTAAGTTCATAACTGAGTTAAGACCTGTGAAGATCCTGTTTGGCTTTTTTCCAACTAGTTCCTTTAGTGTTAAGGTAGAGGGCAGAGTGTCCCTTATGTAGGAACCAATTTTTACTTTGTTCTAACCCCCCCTTCTCCTTGATAGCGTTCGTATATCTACTACTTCCAGACCCTCGCGTAAATCGCTCTCCACTTGTTATCATAGGAAAACGGTCCGTTAGAACTATGTTGATTTTCAACAGGTGGATAGATAATAATGTTTGAGAATTTGAGAGGTTTTCATATGGGGTTTACAGTGCCTATGGACATTGTCTCGTGTGCCGTGGTCGTTTGTACTAGAGTATACAAACAGAACAGGAGCGTCAGTTCCTACAGACTGGTTCGTAAGTTTAGTGGAAACTCAGCGCAAGTGTGACCTCATAAGGGTGTTATCATAGTGGTCTTCGATGCTATATAAACGCAAGTGTGGTTGTTTCGGGCGTCCTAGATTTATCAACTACTCTTGGAAAAATGGGGGAAAGCGCAGGGACGTGCCTCTCGCCTGAAAGCACCCTCTTTTTTCACCAGGATACAGACTAACCATGACCGCCTAACGTTTGCGTGCGAGGCATATTTGACGGTTTTTCAAAACACTTGGCGGTAAAATATAGGAAGAGTAACGTAAACTAATCGTAATCCATAAATCGTAATTCGGTCGCGCTCTACTCCTCACAGCGAAGACCGTCTAAATGAGCCTTCGAAGTCATCAGGGTCGTCGAAGATGACTTCGGTCAGGGGTTGAGGCCACTGAAGGCGGCCTAAAACCGCCCGTCATATGCGGCACTTCACAAACGCCAGGACGGTCATAGGGTTTCCTTCTTCTTCTTCACTGAGCGCCGAGGACTTAAACGGATTAGGGATGGGGGTCCTCTGACCGCGCCACACACTTGCGACCTAACATGAATCAAGACGTGACTCTTGATTTCTCAAACCTACTTGATTTACCCTTTTTCAGTGACGCCACCACTTGCGCGATACGACCTCGGCAACTGCCACCATACCTGTCGGTACACGTCTCTTGACGCGTAAAAATCATGACTCGGACCGGTCCTGGCTTACCTACTCTCCTTTTGCATTCCTGCCTCATCATCGCGCGAAACGTAGCATAAATCGCGCGTTTTCTGATCTTATCAGAGGATCTTTACTTTTACGAAGCTATGGTGGATACTTCGTAAGCGTAACGGAATCTTCTAGATCACTACTATCATGGACTTGACACCTTCTAACTTTATATTGGACTCCCCGAGAAGTTTTTTATAAACTTAGTCAGCAACCCGAGATACTGTCCAATATATCACTGACCTTTACCGACGCAAGAACTCCTACAGTAGAGGACTAGTCAACTCCGGCTAACGCTCACCGTAGATATGCAACGGTCTTGCTAATGCTATGTAATTGCTATGTAAATTTTGTGGTCGTTACGCTAATTCTATGCTAGGGGGACAACATATGGTCAGCTATGCAAACTAAGTTGTAATACGCTATTCCCCGCTATGCTACGCTAAGTTATAAAATATACGCATCGTTTAGTCTTAATTGTTTTTTTCACGAAAATGTATGTCATAACCAAGAGAGACGACCGTAGGGTAGTACGACAAATAAAAAATGGAATTTTTTGAGAGGTCCTCATGCTCATGTTAACCATATTGTGCGAGGCTCGCTCAATTTGCTCTAATTCTACGACGGCGCTACTAATTCGTCCCTACACGTGCATTGTTGAATGGTATCCGTGCTTAACCCCGTATGTCGACGGCTGACTACACGAATTGTGAGTAGGTATCGATTGAGTGGTCAGCTCGTCTTTCGTCACCAAAGATACCCGCCTCTCTCGTTAATTTCTTATGTTTATTGAAAGTGTTGTCCAATACAAGCTATTGCAGAATCGTCATTCTTCTTAAATTTGATAATCATACACCAGTCAGGTCGTCGACCGACATTCCGATTTGTGGGTGAGAGAGACTGTCTTGTGGAGTGACTCACTAACTTGAGTATACAGACTTGAAGTCAAAAGAAAAGTCGCGCGTCTGGGGTACACAGGAGAAATACACGCAGCGATGTTAAGGAGCATGATGACCGTGAATTTGCGCTGGTGCGCGTGAGCAAATGTTAAACGCTCGCTAAAACTTCAACTGGCAGAAAAATTTTTAGACTTCACAACGGTTTGCAAACTAAACATCATAAAAAGCAAAACGTCGGGTCTCTTGCGTTGAAAGTAAATTGTATTCCATCTGAAGATTTTGACTTTACTAGTCTGTTGGCTTATGTAACTGACCACATATTTGAGGAGTAGTTACCCATTTTGGTATTTAGTTTCTTTATGAGAATAAAATGTCTGTTATTGTTAATAGGTATGTTTATCTTGTGGTTTTCAACTTTAGCGTCAAGTTAGTGATTTCATGCTGCATTCATTCTTTAATGCTAAGCTAAGCTGATCACCTCTTGGACCTAGAACATTTTGTGTCATCTGCAAGTGTAGTGACCAGCCCTCTACAACAGCTTAATTCAAGTATGCATTTCCTAGCTTAAAGTTTCAGTGTGCAGGATTTAGTGGTAACAGTAAAGGTTGCATCCAACGGAATACCCCACATCTTTCTAGAGCTAGTGTTTGGGCCCTTTTGCCTTAAAATACTTTTTCCCGTGGACTTACATCATGAATGAGGCATCTCTTATTTAGTGAATATACTGTATATCTCTGAAGGTAAATACAATTTCAAGTATGTACACTTGAATGAAATCGTAGTGTCCTCAAAGTTGTGAAACCCATTAATAGCCAAATCCAGAGTAACTTCCTCAGGCATAATGAACTGTAGTTTCTTGTAACCAGTCTGGAAGTGGGATTAAAAGAAAAGTGAGTTATGTTGCTCTATAGGTCCAAAGATGCAGAAGATCCGGGTAATTATATACTCGAAAGTCGAGCCATTTCGGCGTCATGCGCCACTGAGCAACTTACATAGAAATGAATGCGACCCTCCTCCAATGTTGTATCCAGATCTCTTTATACAGCTGCAATATGGCATCCACTTCCTATGTAGATAGGAAGACCTCATTATAGGATAAGTAAAACAACAAACAATTCTCCGTTTCAGGTCATTATGAACCAATGAGAATATTGTTATGAATTATATATTCAATTTCTGCCAATAGATCCCCTTAACTCCTACACACTGGGCCGTTATGAGTGCAGTTGACTTATTAACACATCATCACAGTACAGAAGGTGCTCTTAGAAATGTGCCCCTTCAGCAGAATATCTGAAAACAGAAGATGTGTTTGAAATTCAAGCCAGCTGTTGGCAATGCAACACAACAGATGAAAAAAAAGAACTCCTGCTGATATTGTCACAGATGTTTAAACACTTCTTTATCTTTATTCCTTGTGCCAGCATATAAACACTTCACCGTGCGACTACAATGTGACAGCGAAACCAGTGGAGAAGATTCCCTGCAAGTAAGCACTCGACAAACAGCTTCTCTTTAACTCTCAGATCACAGCGGAGGAGACAACCCATGAATCATCCCTTGATGGTTGAATCCTTCCCCCTCACACAATTTCTCCTTCCCTCTCTCATCTCATCACAGCACCAAGATGGAGGAGCAATCGCCAACCTGCTCTCTCATTTTCTCTGCCTCTGATCATGCATGGCCTTGTTCTTTTCTTCTCTCACTCTTCTTCCCCCCCCCCTCTCTCTTTTCTTTCAGGCATGTGATGTTTCGGTCCACCGTGCAGCGGATCAGCTTTCCTCCTGTAAGTATCTAATCACCAAAACTAGTTATTAGGACCATACGGTCTTTCCATTGCCTTCAAAAAGGCTTCATCACTTTCAATAGGTTTTTGTTACGAGGTATGACCTAATGAGTATCTGGTGCTGAACACGAGATAGTTATGACAACCACAAGGGTCAAGGAAAACCGATCCAAACTGATTGTATCATTTTACTGCATTTGAGGGCCTGTTATGGCACTGTACTAGCTGACTAGTCAGCTTTGGTTCATATTGCAGTGCTGCAGCCTTAGCAGTGTGTCCATGCTGGTAGCTGATGGATATTTGAGCCATGCTGGCAGCTGCTGAGTGTTGACAGAGAAGGAAAGGCGCTAAGAAATCCCGAGGGTGTTATTACTGCAGAGTTGGGAGCAGTTTTCTGCTGTTAGTGGTGTCACAGCTCTAAGACAAGTTTCTTGTCAAAGGTTAAGCACCTACACAAATCCCGTAGCAAAGTTAAATGAAAGTTAAGATCTAGCAGACAGCTGACCTGGTGTAGGCAGGCAGACATTAGCCGATCAAAATTGAAGAATCTTAATGGTTTACACTGGGAGCTGCCGGTCCACATGTACACAGGAACAAGCATTTTAGATTTATTTGAGCCTTGCCTCTTAGCACATAATGAAACAATATATATGTCCATACAACCAAAAAGAACCTCTAAAAGGTCAAGATTTGTAGTAGCGCAACAACAAATTATTATCTTTTTTCAGATTTGAATAATTGTTTCCATCCTAGGGCCACTGTGTGTCCCAGATTTATGTGCTGTGCTTTTTGCACTGAATGTTCTGCTCGGAAGGAACAAACCCATCCTTGAGATGATTGAATTAAAGTCGTATTTCCAAACATTTTCATGTGAGTTAATGTCCTTTTCATTGAAGTGATTCAATTACTGCTGATCTAAACATTTGCTGTTTGACCGTATAGATTTTCCAAACTAGCTTCATTGCTATAAACATTGCAGTGTTGGCTGTTAGTCGGACCATCATCTTGGTACCTCAACAACTATTGGATTTATTGCCGTGAACCTTCAAACACAAATCAATGATCGTCAGGGGATGAATACTAAGTCCTTTGGTATCCCTGGACCTTTCCTATTTTACCACAAGGCTGATGAATAAGTACCTTCCCCCACATTTGCAAATATTAGCACGCTAACGAGCTAAACGAAAACAGTGATTGCGGTCAGCATTTTACGTTTGTCATGATCCTGGTGTTGTGTCACAATGTCGGTTTTGTCTGTCTTGTGGTGGGTTTTATTTTGCTGTTCTGTTCTCCCTGTCTCTTGTCTTCTTTCCTGTGTTTGCTCTCCTGTGTCTGATTGTGTTCACCTGTTGCCCTTGTGTTTCTGCCTCCCTTACCCAGCTGTGTCTTGTGCTGTTACCCCTCTTTGTATTTAGTCTTGTCTTCCCCTGTGTGCCTTGTCAGTTCATTGTCTTTCCTGTCTCCCTCCATGTTGATCACGGTCAGTTCTTGTGTTGTTTTTTCCTTGTGCTACCGTTTTGATTCATGCCATGTTTTTGTTCATCAGCTTTGTTTCTAGACCTTTTTACCTTTTTTGTAGTCTGCATTTGGGTCCTACCTTTTCCACGAATCCTATTATTAATAATGTAGGGTTAGCCGCATGATGTCCTTTTAACTCAATAATACAAACAATGCCCCCCCCCCCCAAAGTAGGACATATAGTCATTTTACCCTATTTTATTGAAAATATATAAATGATCCAGTTTATTGAAGGGTTTGCAAATTCTTGGATGTGGCAAAAATAGGTCAAAGTTTTACACCATGTGACAGTTACCTCTGCCACACAGGAACATGTTACGTTTCTAACGTGCTGTCCCATAGTAGGAAAGTAGGTCAGGTGCTCTGGCTCAAACACACTCACTCACACACACACTTATGTTTAAAGGAGAGATTCACTACATTGCAATGGCTCCCGTGAAATACACCTGCATTAGCGCCTTGGGGAGCATCCGGCAAATGTGGAGGCCCAGCAGGCCATTTGCAGAGTATCATGTAAACTGGTGACTGGGATCAAATGGCGTGTAATGGTCGCAGTCATCCCTCCAAGGAGCAGAGTAAAGTAAACGACACCTTGCTGTGTCCCTCTTTCAGACTCAGAGAGCAGCTAAAAATGTAAAACTGGCTCTCTGTTCAGAGAAAGGACACAGTTTAATGTCTGAGGAGGAGGGTGTTAGATGGGGGGGATGCTATTTCTGCATGGCACGCCGCTGGTGATGACCAGTAAGTGTGTTAGTAGGCAAGACAAGAGGACAAGTTAAAGGCAAGAACATAACACAACCAGAGACCAGCAGAGGCCATAAAGACAGGAGTCAAGTGATATGTCATAGGTCATAAACATATGGGACCCGAAAATAGATCCGCTTTATATTGTTTGAGCATCCTTCAGATGACTTTGGTATTAGTATAACAATAGGTTTACATGAGCTTATACGTCCATAGGTGAAAGAATGTATATCTCATTTAGCTCTGTAAATGTTAGAGGTCACGATGTACAGTAGATGAATATAGTGCACGCTTACTCTATCACATTTGGTATGATTGGACTCCGTACTCTGTCAGCTAGTTTTGATCGAATGCTTAAAAACATTGTCATTTGAACTCCAGGTCAATGTTCAGATTTAGAAGTGCTTGTATTTACTAGTCTCAATAACAGAATTATGTTAGTTAAATTGAATCATGACGTCTGCTCACATTTAACGCTTTAACTCTTGGTCCTTAACTTAATTGCTGAACATAAGTTGTATGTATTGAACTAGATGTTCAACTGTCCAGCTAGTTCCAATAACATGTCTTATCTCTGACAAACGTAGAAGGGGGGACCTGCTCCATGCCAATATAATCCACAGACCAGACCAGGAAAATGCATCACTTCAAGCTTCAAATCAACATTGCCGCAGCTCCACAGTGTGCACTCCGTGAGTCTGGTACTTCACATTTAGCTAAATGTAATGTTCTGTATGTCATTTATTGTAGGCTATAATTTGACTCATTCAGTCGTCTTTGTAATGAAAACTACAAATGTAAAAAATGTTAACAGTTTATTTAATCTCAGATGCATTATTGCAGTTAAATTCTTGACAAGCGAGTAAATATAAAATGTACTAATGGATAAAATAATAATGTAGTTGTAATTTTGATGGAAATGTAGGAAGATATGACCTATATGTTAGCAAAATAGAACATCACAATTTAACATAACATAATCCTTAAAATAAATCTAACCTCACACAGATGTGAGCGTGTCTAAGTTCCCTCGGCCCTATGTTTCCATAATCATATGTGATAAAACAAGAAGAAGACAAGTTCATGTAGGATTCAACCTGTTCTATTGGACCCAATTATAGCTCTTGGATGAAAAGTGATGATATATTGAATGTGTTTCTGTGGGTGTGCGTGTCTATTCCACAGGAGACCCCAGGACCAGGGGCCTACGAATCTTGCTGGAAATTGGGCGACCGTCTGACCGCAGATCCCATAGACCCGTCATTTAGCCTCTTCTTCCGCAACATTCTCTAGTATTTGGACTTGAATTCCAACAATTCCTTGATCCCACCACCAACTTCTTATCCTTTTTGCTTGATGGCAGAACAAACATGACCTGACCCTATTTAAAAAACACAAGTAAAATCATGAATGTACCAAAAGAAATCTCAGTCTCTTGTTACTTGGACCAATGTCTCTCTGCATATCAGTGAAGGGTTTTGTGGTCTGCCAGCGATAAAATAAGCTACATTCGTTGTGCTCAAATTGCTTTAGTGACGCCGGTCAGGGAAGCAGAATGATCTTATCTGCAACAAAGGGTACTTCATTCCACTTAACTGCATGTTCCCGGTATTGCTCTCATCTCTCCTCTCTCCTGCTCTCGCTCCTCTTTCACTCTCTGTCAGCAGTCAGGCTGCTTTGCCTTCCTACTATCTCTGCCCTGCGATACACTCAGGAGGAGGAATGCTGCTCAGCCATGCATCACATGGCTTAGTGTGGCATGCTGCACCCTCAGATAACACATTCAGTATTAGGGGCCAAGGCAGTGGTACACAATAAAACAGCTATTCTTATCACTACCTACTCCGCATAGTATTTCTTTGGACAAAACAATCAAACACAGGCAATGATGTTAGGACACAGAGAACAGCAACGATAGGAATCAGCTCAACATAATAGCGGTGTAGATTACAGAGAACAGGGATAGGTGCAAAAACATTGCAGATTTGTTATTGGTGTGATCCTGGACAGTGTTTCTTTCATCATTTATTTACTCAGAGAAGGGTTTAGCTGAGCATGCATGGTTTGTCAGCACTGATTCATATTCATAGAGTTAGACACTCATGCCTAAGAGCGGCAGAGTTTTGTGACAGAGCCAATTTGACAGTTGTTGAGGGAGTGGAGACTTGTATTAATCCATTCTGGCCATGCAGATACCGTTATCAGATCCAAGGACGAAAATATGTACAATGATCATTAAAGCCCACTTTCTTTCTTTCTTTATTTCCGTCTTGTATTGATTTTAGCGCATGACTAATATCCTAAAGCAGCACATAGTATAGCATGGATTTGTCATAATGCCATTAGTAAATAACAATATGGATGTATTAGTGATAACAAATCGGTTCGATGACTTTTGCCAATTACAGACTGGATGAACTGTTGATTGATTCTAAGTAC